AGGAGGGCTGCTCTGCTCACATTTACTCTCCATTTTCCCTAGTAACTTTTCTTTTTTCTTTTTTTGAAAAATAGCTCTCTGTAGGACTTGATCTTTTATCTTGTTCATCTCTGTCTTTTTTCTGACCTAAACAAAAATCTTCTAGCCATCTCCAACTTTGCCTGATTTGGGCCTTTGCATTCCACTTCAGGGCAGTGAAGTCTACTTTGGCCAGTGTCCCTCTCCCAGGCCTACTGATAGTCAGGGAGAAAGACTAATTTGCTCCCTTTTGTTCTCCTATTTCTTCTAACTTTTTTTTTTCCTTTTTTTGACAAACAATTCTCTGCCCTCCTTGGGCCTTTCTATTTTTAATGTCTTTTTTTTTTTTTTTTTTCACCTAAGACAGAAAGCTGCTAGCCATCTTTACCTTCTTTACTCTTGACTGTTTGGGCCTCTGGGTACAACTTCACAGCTGTGAAGTCTCCCCCAGCCGGTGTCTCCCTCCCAGACCCAACACTAGCCAGGTGGGAAGGCTGCTTTGCTCACTCTTGCGCTCTTCTGTTTCTTCTAACTCTTTTTCTTTTTGAAAATCTCTGCCCTCTTTGAGTTTTTCACTTTTTAATCTCTCTCTTTTGTCTCACCTAGAACAGAGAGCTGCTAACCTAATCTCCTTTTTTAGTTTTGATTCTCTGGGTTCAACATCACTGCTGTAAAGATTCCCTGATGTAGCGTCCATCTCCCAGACCCAGTGCCATTCATATAGAAAGTCTGCTTTGCTCCCTCTTGCTCTCCACTGTCCCTTCTAACTTTTGTCTTTCTTTGATAAACAGCTCTCTGAACTCCTTGGGCTTTTCTCTTTTTAATCTCTGTGTTTTCCCTTTTTTTTTTTTAAACAATTTTATGTATTTTTTTTTTTACATGACCTAGAAAGACATAAAGAGAGAGAGCGTAGGTATCCCCAAGCAGTTTTTTTTTTCTTTTTACTATAGGGTGCATGCACTCACCAGAAACACAGAGAGAGACAGAGAGACAGAAAGTGAGAAATTATCCCCCCAGGTGGGGTGTGTGGCCACACCTCAATTCCTTCTTCTCCATTCTTCTCTTGGGATCTTGGTCCCACATGCACACGTGCCTGTCATGAATTTAAGCCACCAGGTCTGGGTCTCGAACCATGATTGACTACATGGGAGTTCATCTACATAGCCATTACGCTAACTGCTGGTCCCTCTGTGTTTTTTCTCATCTTTATCACAGCCACTAGCCATCTCTACCTTTTCCTCTATGGGCCTCTGGGTTCAATTTCACCTCTGTGAAGTCTCCCCTAGCCAGTGTGCCCCTACCAGATCCAACATAAGTCAGGTACGAAGGCTGCTTCACTCTCTTCTGTACCTACTAACTTCTTTTCTCTTTTATGAAAAGCAACTCTCTGCCCGTCTTCATCTTCTTGTGCTTTTCTATAGTATATAGTCTATCTATTTTTTTAATTTTTAATTTTTTCCCCACCTATGACAGAAAGCTGCTCGCCATCTTCACCTTTGGCTGTTCAGGGACTCTAGGTCTAACTTCACAACTGTGAAGTCTCCCCAAAGCAGTGTCAGTGTCTTCCTCCAAGTTCCAGTACTAGTCAGATAGGAAGGCCTCTTTGCTCACTCTTGCTCTCCACTGTTTTTTCTAACTTTTTTTTTTCTTTTTGAAAAATAGCTCTTTTCCCTCCTTGGTTTTTTCTATTGTTAATCTCTTCTTTTCTTCACCTAGGACTGAAAGCTGTTAGACATCTTCACCCTTGCCTCTTTTGGGCCTCTGTGTTCAATTTCATAGTTTTAATGTCTCCTTCTGTCAGGTGACCCCTCTCAGTCCCAGAAGTAGCCAGGAAAAAAGACTGCTTTACTCCCTCTTGCTCTCCTCTGTAACTTCTACTATATATTTTTTCTATTTTTGAAAAACTTCTCTGTGCCTTCCATCATCTTTTCTCTTTTTAATCCCTTTTTCTCGTCTAGCTGCTAGCCACCTCCAACTTTGCCTGTTTGTGCCTCTGGGTTCAACTTCACATCTGTGAAGCCTTATCCCAGGC